ACTGAAGACAAGTTTGTGGGGAGTTTCAGTGAGGCCAGTGTTCTATTGTGAGCTTTTTCTTGCTCAGTCATTAATATCATCCAAGTCAACACTACGTGTATTTTACTCTTTCATTTCAGTGAAAGAGCACAGCACATCTCTCTGCAGATATCTACTAATTCAAGATTCTCCAGGAGCTAGAGAGATGACTCAGTGGCTAAGAGCAATTACTGCTCAATCTTGGGAAACAAAATTCAGATCTGAGCAACCATATAAGCTGAGGCCTCTCTTCTGGACTTTTCCCCACACACAGAGCCATACACACACACACACACACACACACACACACACACAAATTAATCTTAAAGAAAAATATTTTTGAAATCGGAGCCTCTCAAGGCCCTCCAAGTTTCTTATTCCACTTCTTCAAGGAGATCACCTCCTTGCTTACCAAGGCTATCTCAGTGTTATTAGCTGTCCAGCAAATGACAATCAATTCTCTACATTGTTTCATTCCAGATTCGTTCTATGTTCTAGTGCTGTGTTCCAAAATTAACAATAAGATTTGAAAGCCAACTGAATATTAAAAACAAAACAAACAAACAAACAAACAAACAAAAGACCCTGTATAAGGTATTCTATGGTCTTCGCCATCTGTATCCATGTTCCAACATCTCCACCATGCCCACTATTAAGGAATGCTTTGTTCACATCCAGTTAATTACATCATGGAATGACTTCATATTGCCTGTCATATAATGTCTGTAATGATGATTTTTGTCAGATTGGCAGCACATATGTCAATGACAGGTATTTGAAAATACATTCATTAAAGTACTCGTCACTATCTATATTAGTGCTGATGGAAAATGTTACGACTCACATGACTTAATAAAAAGGTTGAGAATGTGGGCAAATGTATCTATTCAGGTCCTGTCAGGCAATAAGGGCAGATTCATGAGACATTTTAACGATAAATAAACAGAAGAATATTAATAAGATTCTAGGCGAGGTAAAAAACAGTCAACAAGGTACGTCAGCATAAGCAGGAAGTCCAGAGGAGTGCAAGAGGGAATACCCTGCAGAACATGCCTGGAGCCTGGCAGACAGAGCCCACCCTGATCCTCCTGCTTGTCTGCTAAGGCCTCCTACCAGTTACTTCAGTAAATCGGAGGTCAAGGGAAGGGGTTGACAGTGTATATGATGATGGTCTAGCCTCTGCTCAGAAGAGAAAGAAGAAAAACATGAACGGGTGAAAAGGAAAGAAAGTGGCTAACTTTTCCCCTTTCTATTTACAAAATTCCAAGTCAGATAATTTGAAACACAATGTGCTTTCCATTACAATGTGGTGTGGCTTTGGCTTATGTTAGAGCAATGCTTTCAGCCTTTTCATATCCAGGCAGGAGACACTCAAATAAAGAACATTTGAGAGGCATGTATAAAACATTAGGCTAAAAATAAAACTCTTTGGAATATAATGGTTTAAATAAAAATCATTTCAATTGGTTATAAAACAATAGGTTCATTAAGACATTATCATGTGTCTATCATTTTTAGCATTTTTACTTCCGTTATATTCACCCTCCCACTGGTCTCCTTACTATCTCTATTAATTACTTTCTGTTTTTGTAATAAAATATCATGACCAATGCAACTTAAAGGAAGAAAGAGTTTATCCTGGCTTATGGTTTCAGAGGGACAGAGTCCATCATAGCAGGAAAGGCAAGGTATGGCACCAGGAGCAGGAACCTGGCTGACCACATTTTCAACAGCACACAGAAAGCAGCAAGGCGGAACAGGAAGTTGAGCAACATTACAAACCCTCAGAGCTCTCCTAACTCTGATATAATTCTTCTTCCAGCAAGGCTCCACCTCCTAAAGGTTCCATAACCTCTCCAAACAGCACCACCTACTGGGACCAAGTGTTCAAATCAATGAGACAATGGAAGAGCATTCTTACCAAACCCTAACACTGCTCTCCTAAATGACTGCCGGCCTACCTTCATGTTATATGTAACATATATTTATGTATTTCTTTAGTCTGGATTCTGTATAGTAGAGAAAACAGGCAATATACACCTTTCTGAGTTTGGCCTATTTAGCTTAACATGATGGTCTCCAGTTCCATCCACTAGCCTCAAATGACATAATCCACACGATAGACATCTTTGCTGATTCCATATCAAACATGGATAAGAAGGTAGAATAAAGGTTTTAAATATTAATTTTATATAAAAGTCCCAACACTTAAAACTGTATTTTAAGAGAGAAGTAAGCTTGTTTCAGATATGCATATTATGTGTGTCTATGCACATTTGTTTGGTACGTGAATGTAAGTATACAGATGCATAGATCCATGTGTATACATGTGGAGGTCAGAGGAAGAGTTAGGCATCTTCCTCAAACTCTCTTGAGATGGGATTTCTTACTGAATTAAAGATCACAGTTTTTGCTAGGCTAGTTGGTCAATAAGCTCCTGAGGGTCACCTGTTCCCTCCATCCCAATGTTTACTTTGGAGGAGGCATGCCTAGCCATGCCCAGTTTTTTATATGGGTGCTAAGGGGTCAAACTCATGTCCTCACGCCAACACAGCGAGTGTTCTTATTCACTAGGGCTATCTCCCTGGGCCCTGTAAGTGTAATTTTTAAAAATACAAATTTTTGTATTTGAGAGGATCAGTCACATTTCCTGATGATGACTTTTAAAAAGAACTGACAGAGGTGGGCAAGGAATAGCTGTTCCAGAAGGCTAGGTCTATACCAAGGTAAGATAATTAGCTTCTGGACCAACCTACAACATTCTAATCTCTTTACAGTACTGAAATTCTAGTCAGTCGATCTCTGTAGACACAGCTTCTTTTCAGGAGATTTTGTTAACAGTTCTACCAGTTTTGTGCATGCTTTTTGGAATCTATTAACTTAGCAGAACACTAACCTTCACCAATCCAAAAGCTCAGATAGCATCTTGGGCCTATAGGAAAGTTTCCCTCCTTGCTGTATCTGCCTTTCTGATGTACCCATCAGCGTATTTTAAACTTGCCTTTATTTATGACTTTCCTTTGTTTTGTAAAACTGTTGTAAAAAAACTTCAGGAAACTGCCTCCACATTGGAACATGGAATTTGGAGCAATCTAAATCTGTGTTTCTGGGCCATGGTTACTCAAAATGGCTCCAGAAGATATATCTCTTACTCCCCACCACCCAAAAAAGGATTCAATTCCTATTTTTGAGAGCCATCATTAACCAGAAATGATAGCACTGCAGTTTTGTTTTTCTAATGGCATTCAGAACTTGTAGAATGTAATTCTACTTAGATCAAAGTTCTTTCTGGTCCCTTTAAAAGCACTGCGAGATTAAATGTTACTGTCACATGTGAATGAATTGCAAATTCCAAGCAAATGGTTCTTAGCACCTACTTCAGTGTTGGTGGTGCTCTAATAGTCATGATGGGGAAGGCATAGAGGCAGGAGCCCGAGGCAGCTGGTTACCCCCAGCAGTCAGGAACTACAGAGCAGACAAGAACATGGCGCAGGCTATGAAACCTCAAGGCCTGTCCAGTGACTTCCTCCAGTAAGGCTGGGCTACCTAAAGATCCCCTAACTTTCTGCCAAAACACCCCCCACTGGGGACAAAGTACTCAAACACATGAGTGTGTTGGGGACATTTCACATCCCAACCAAGGCAGCACTAAATGACCGAGAGTGATGGAGGGTGAGCACACTGATCAGAAGGATGGTTCCTGTCCTCTGCAGGATAAAGCAGAATGGTGTGAGGGTTTTATCACACTCTTTAAAATGGCTCTCATTGAAAAGAAACTATTTCTGGAATTTCCCACTTACTATTTTCAGACTGTGGCTGACTTTGGGTTGCTGGAACTGTGCAGAACAAAGCTGTGGGTAAGGCAGGCTGAGTGGGCCCTTCCACTATGTAAAGTGACAGAAGTAGACACCAGACAGATTGCTTTCACTGTTTCTCAGCTGTGCGTTTGTGGATGTCTTGCCTACTGTGTATCTTTTTTTTTTTTTTTTTTTTTTTTTTTGGTTTTTCAAGACAGGGTTTCTCTGTGTAGCTTTGCGCCTTTTCTGGAACTCACTTGGTAGCCCAGGCTGGCCTCGAACTCACAGAGATCCGCCTGGCTCTGCCTCCCGAGTGCTGGGATTAAAGGCGTGCGCCACCACCGCCCGGCTGCCTACTGTGTATCTTAAAACAACCTCCCAAATTATACCCAATAAGGAATAATATCACCTCAAATTTTCAAATCAAAATACGCTGTTGAACAGTATTCTGTGATCAACTTCCTAGGACCAAGAGCAAACACTACAGGAACCAGCTGCATCTTTCTTTGATGAAATCTCCTCCACTACTGCTCAGGACAATGCAGAGGGCTACTGTCCTGTATTTGGGAAGAGTAGAACTGGAAGCAGACCGTGCCAAGGCCTATATACTGCAGAAGTACATATTAACAAAACCCAAACCAGCCAAAGTGTATGAGCCACACACTGTAAGACAGGGCTTGTATTAGCTAGGTACATTTAAATAAAATAAAATAAACCTCAGATTGTCAAATGCAATTGGAAATAGACAGGGTCCCACACTTGTAAGCAGATTTAGAGTAAGGACTGTGTTCATTCAATTTTTCTTCATGGGAAAGAAACTGTCCCACAAGCATGCCTAGTGTTCACTCAGCTTGGACTCATTTTAGGATATGAAAATTCTTTCTGAATCCTGTAAGCCTAGTGACTGCAGGTACTTCCTCTGGCCACTTCTGAACTTATTTTAGTTAGTAGAGAATGTTATATAGAGAGAGGCTTAAGGATGGATTCCTAGACTAATCAGTAAATTAAGACAGGGGTTCATTAATGTGATCAGTTAACATTTTCTGGCCCTGCCTATGGAGCTCAGCTAGCATCCACGCCCCAAAGCACAATGGCAGTAATGGGAAATTTGCATTAGTTACTTTCAGTTGCTATGATAAAACATCATGACCACGGCAGTTTATAGAAGGGTTTATTGAAGCTTACGGTTCCAGGGTTCCAGAGGGGCAAGAGTCCACCATGGAGAGGAGGCCCCCGCAGCAGGAGGTAAGCACAGCAGCAGTGAAGCAGGAAGCTGAGAGAGGCATGCTCCCCTGCGAACATGAAGCAGAGAGAGAGGAAACTGGGAGCAGGTGAGGCTTTAAGCTCTCAAAGCCCACCCTAATGACACACTTCCTCCAGCAAGGCCTCACCTCTTACATCTTCTCAAACAGTGCTACCAACTAGGGACCAAGTGCTCAACATCTCTTACTGAACACACCACAGAGCACATATTGAAAGTAAGTAACAAAAATCCACATGGTATGTGACATATATGATTTCCATTCTCCCCCGAGCCCTCGGAGGTACGTGCTTTGTGAAAATGTCTATTCCTTAGTTGTTTATGTTGCTCAACTCCTGTGGTTTGAATGAAATGCTATTTTAATAAAAATTTCCTAATACTGGACTTCCATTTTCTGTTATAATTTACCACATATCAGGAATTTGCAGAGCATAACCAGCAGGTGGAAGATTGTTCCTGGCATTCCCAGCACACATCATACACTTCTTACACTTACATTTTAATTTCTGTGATTTCTCTACTTGATTTTACATTATTCCCTGATAGTGCAAACATTTTTGTGGGATAAATCAAAGGCCAGTCTATAAAACCTTCCAGAACTTTATCCATTTCCAACTGGTTTTTAAAAACACCATACTTGTAATTTTAAAAATACACAAAATCTGATTTGCATTATGCTTATGTGGGTTTGGGGTCCTCATAATTTCTGCCTCAAATGCATAGGTTTCTTGAAATTAAGGTATTTATCACCTTTCAACCTCTAGTTTAAGTTGTCTGAGTTTAATGGAACACTGGTTCCAAAATCCAAATAGTGCTTTCTTCCAATAGGAAATCATCATAGGCATGCATATCTGCTTAATAAAAATGGCTACTGTGAAATAAATAATTACTCACTGTGATGCTGAGATTTAATATAGAATCAGGTTTGAGAAGGTGAGCAGAAAGGCTTGGAAATGATGAAGTTTCTCTGCACTGTCCCAACCACTTGGAACTGATGCTGGTTTGGACTTCTCATCCTGGATTAGATCTGGTTTTCACTCTAGCATTTTAGGACACGTTAATGGTTCCAATGGTCTTGGGGCTTTTACAGAGCTGTGTCTTTTGGGCATTCAGTTGAAAAGAGAGTTTAACGAGGCTTTCCCTAACACCCAAGATCTAGTGACTCTTATTTTTATCTACCACATATGAGGTTATCAGTTAAATGTCGCTCTTAAATGGAATATTAGCGTTTCCTATGGAACAGGATAGCATTTAACTATTAACTTTATTGTTTTAGTCCTATATTCCACACACTATTACACAACGTGACTTAAGTATTCAATAACTGAATGAACCAGTAACAGCTACACACCTGCTAAAAGGTGGGCTGCTCCATTGGGTGTAATTTCTACCAGCCAAGCCAGGAATTTAAGACCTATCATACAGTTAGATTAAAATAAAATCACAAGGCCAAACAACATAGTCTGGGCTAATGGATAAACGAAACTTGCTTAACTATATGCTTTGATAATAACACCCAGAATTTAGTACAGACTCTGGCATAACTAAGCAGATTAACTTGAGCATAAACATTTCATCACGTGCTTGGCCCAGAGGCCTCAGGGGAGTGATGCCATTACTAGGTTAGTTGAGGCAGATGAATTGCAAGTTGAAAGGCTGCCTGCTCAATTGAGTGGGAGAATAATTACTCAGAATAAACAAATAAGAAAAAAAGAAGCCCGGGGATGCAGCTGTGTGGCAGCATGCTTGCCCAGCCTGTGAGGGCCCTGGTTCCACAACAAATACCTGGAAAATGGGCTGTTTTGAGAGCTTTGAGCTCGCACGCAGAACACATCCGCACTGCGATGAACGTCACCTCCCTTTCGGGGAAGCACTCAAAATGTCCACCAAGGCCATTTTCATAACAAAAAAGGCACGTAAAAGCCTGGCGCGCAAAAGCCCACCAATACGTTCCCGGCTAGCTGGAAGCTCGCAACTTCCAGTTTGTTTTTAGCGCCAAGGGACCCGGAAACCCTGTCGCGAGACTGACACGGGCGTCGTCCAATGGCAGGGCATGCTAAGGCGGGCCCTCGCCCGCACGCCCAATCGGCTAGCTCCTTGGAGCGGCAGGGCGGAAGTTGCCACCATGGAGCCGCTACTGCAACAGATAGATTGCTTCTCCGGGGTGCTGGCCGTGTCGTGTGGGGCGGTGGTGCGCTCCTGGGATGCGACGACCGTGCGTAGGGCGCTGCAGTGGGCGCGCTATCTGCTCCACGTGTACCGACGCTTCGCGGACCGCGGACGCGCGCGGGAGGCGCTAGAGAGGCGGCTCCGGTCGCGGGGCGGGCCGCCCG